TGGTCCTGGTTACCTCCTGGGTGGACAGGAATGTGTACACTGGGATTCTCATGGCTACAAAGGAGATGGGAAGAAATACACTTCACAGCCAGCTAATCTTCCACACCAACACAGGTGGTCCCAGTGTGTGTTCTGCTGGTACAACTACCTGGCCTCCATCTTTGTCTCATCCTGAGGATTACAAGATGCCATTTGGTGCATAGAATCATGAGCCAGTTACACTCAGTGGATCCTCAGTGATACCTTACAAAGGATATCTCACAAAGGATATCTCTTTTAAATATTGAATTTAAGTTAATGAGACAAGTGTTTCTTAAAAATTGCATAGCATTGGGTATCCTATCCACTGCCTAGGTAGAACATGTGCTATTGGTAAAACTAAATGTTGTACATATATTCCTGGGAACTCTGATAATGTTTCCTCAGTGCTTCAAGAATTCCACCGGCTGGTACAGGCTGTCTGAACCAGAGAACCCCTTGGAGAACCTTCCTATAGGAAGCCTGTTTTAATTCCTACTGGTAGAAATGATGAATAATTATTGGAGTAATTGTTCTTTTTAATTTTTAAAAATTAGCACGTTTGCAGCACATAATGTTTACATTTCCTGTGTGGAGTTGGTACGTGTACAAAAGACATCTTAATTTCTCTCGATCCCCTTCCCATTTGAGAAAGATCAGTCTCCCTGATTCCTACATTTTATTTTGTTCTTTATTTATAATTTGTGTCTCTTGTGTAAGAGAAGCCATGCAGTGTTTAACATTGTGTGTCTGATTTATTTCACTTAACATTACAGTCTCAAGGTGCATCCATTTCCTACAAATGACACAAGTTCATGGCAGAGCAGTGCTTCGTTGTGAGTAAATAACACATTTTCTTGATCTATTCACCTGTTGATAGACATAGAGGTCACGTCTAAGATCTAGCTATCATGAATTGTGCTGCTATAAACATAGGTGTGCATGTATGGAATGATTGTTCTTTTAATCCAGTTGCTGGGACCATACATATTTGCTTGCATATTATGCTTCATCTCTTCCAGATTGAAGTCCATTCACCTACAAATGATACCTCAGGTGGAAATATGTGACATCTGTTATGATCCATCAGACTTTCTGGAGAGTACTACTGACCGCTGCAATATTACTGTGGCCCCTCTCAATAGGAAGAAGTTAGAGTGGTCACTGCCATTCTCGTCACGGATACCTTTTTAGAGGCGGGAACCTTAGATAAATCTGGCAAGTTAGTTAGAAAACTAGTAGGCAGTTAGGAGTTAGAGGCCAAGGCGGAGTCCGTGTACCTACACTTGGGGTCAAATGAATAAGAAACAGGGGTTAAAAGTAAATTCATTTAGCTCAGCGGCAAAAGCGCCTGCCTGGCATGCGCAAGGTCGTGAGTTCGGTTCCCGGTACCAGAGAAAAACCAAAAAAAAAAAAAAAAAAAAGTAAATTCAGACCAACTAGATGCTTAAGGCCAGGAATACAATAAACAAGGTTTGAATGACCCGCATGACAAATATCTACCCCTAGCCATTTATAGATTGTTTTTGTTCTTTCATTTGGTCTTTTAATAATAACTTATATAAATCAGAGGTCAAGGTGCCTACACACATACAGCTGCTACATGCCTCAGCCTCTTATGGGCTCCATTTAAGATAGTTTTGTTTTAGTCCTATCAACTGACATTAGCCTTAGAGTGGTCCGATATTCCGTCATTTTGAGTACAAAAACCCCTAGACAAATGGCCCATGCTGAAAACCTTTCTGGGTCCCTTACTCACTATTGGAAGCTAATCTCATCTTGTATTACTATAAACATGCCTCCTAGTTATCTTATTTGTCCCTAATTTCATTCTTCAACTTAGTGAGACACCAGCTCCTTTGAAGCATAACACTATTATGTTATTTTCCTTATTTTTAAAAAGGTAATTGTCCTGGTATAATACAGTCAGCCATGATTGTTTTCTCAATATGCTCTAAAAGTAACTAAATTGTGTATTGCTAAATTGTTACCTTGTATGTTGCTCACAATCATGATTGGCAAAAGCTATGTTCCTCTTGTTAGATAAGAGACAGTCTTGTTCAAAAATGTATGGTCTTAGCCAAATAAACATTTATTCTGTATTCAGAAATGTTTGTAGTTCTAAAAGCATAACTAAAATTCTTGGTCTTGGCATTAGTAAATTGTGTGCTTTCTCCCAAATGGTAATTCACATTAGTTTACAGAAGGAGGAAACTGTTAAGTATTTGCTTGATATACCTTTCTGGCAGAACTAAGCTTGCTTCACAGAAATATTGGCTTTCTTTCACTTAGTCCCTATGTTTCTTAGTTAAAGTCTACTGTACAGGCTAGATTTACCTTGCTTTTATTGGCTTCTTTTATGTCTGCCTGCAAGCTTTGTAACTATTTTTCAAAGTTCTATTTTAGGTGCTGACTACAAAATAGATAGGAATAAGTTTAACAGTGAACTCTAGATAAATTCACCCTAAGGTTCACTCTTTCTAAAACTCTGATGTGCTCAAATTTGGCAGGAAGGGCCATGACAGTGACTCAAACCATTTGTTACATCCCATCTAATGTGGGACACGCTCTGACTGACCATCACCAGGAAAGCTATCTCTGCCCCAAGAGACAAAGCTGCAGATGGTTAATTAGGAATGCCTTCAGAAAAGAAAAAAATGCATTCATAGACAAGGGGGCAAAGTTATGAACATCAAAGAGTCGCCCATGTGTCAACCCTGCCAAAATAAGCAGGGATGCAGGTTATAAAAGAGAGTTCATACACATGATTGCCTAAAAGCAAACAGTCCTTTTAGCAGGTGCGACGACTAGACACCTACTTTAGCTTTCTTTTGTATGTGATGTCACAAACGTTAGTGAGACTCTGTCAGCCACAAGCATCTGGCTTCCTCTTCTGTCATGGAATGTGTGCCAGGCCAGCATGACAGGCAGCCAGGAGATATGGCACCTCAAGACCCTCAAGACTACAAAGCAAGAGGGAATTGTAACTGGTGCTGCAAAATGGAACTTTAAATGTTATTTTTTTCTTTTAGAGATACACATCTTCTCTAAACTTTCTCCTGCTCAGCACAGAACCAACACCTCTCTTCTCAGCCCTAGAAACAAGTGACAGAATATGCAGATGCCAGCCCCAAGAGGTTGGAGTCCAATTTTCTCCCCATAACAAAGAGGAGGATGAACTGATAAGGATGGCTAAAGCAAGTACGAAGATCTGCATTACCTCTCTACCTCTCTGTGCTCACCCTTTCTTCCTGTTCTTGCTGTAAAAGACCCTTGATGTGAGGCAAATAGAACTCTCATATCCTCAGAGCCAGCTGTGAATAAATCACTTATTCTTTTTACTAAAATATATGGCCTCCTTTGATTTGGTCCTTGGCGAGCAAAGGAGCCCGAGTGTATGAATCGACAAGGTCAGTAACATTTGGACTCCAGGATTTACCACCTTCCCATATCTCTGGCCTTTGGCTAGGACTGAGCCAGACCAGCTTGGGCTTCACACTACCATTGTGCCAGTGTACAGTTCACAGAGAGCCTCTCCAGGACTTCAGCCTCTGGAGAGGCAGGAGACAATCTCCTGAATAGATTGCTCATGTCTGTTTCTATACAGCTTTTTGGGCCTCTCTTTCTGGAGAACCCAGCTAATACTACTACTACTAACAGTGTTTCCTTCATGGAATGGATTTGGAAGGTTTTGGAGGGATCCCTTTCCTTCCTATAGCTTTATTATTTGACTTTTTTTTCTTTAGTAATTGCAATAAAAAAATAAGTAATTCAAAAGGAAAACATGAGAAACGTTTACTGTTTTAACTCTTTACAGATGAGAACCTATGTTGAGTAAGCCAAAGCAACTTTGACCTGGAAGTGACTATATTTGAATGTCCACTACTTGCCATGTCCTGGGAATGACTCCCCTGAAGCCCCCTTGCCCAAGATACACCCTTCTTAGCAAAGGCAGAGGTGCTGTGTGGACCTTGTTATGGCCCTACTGGCTGAGTGTACTTTGAAATAGCAGATGGACTGGAATGCTCTGGGCAGCTGACACTTGTCAGAGGTAGACCTGTGGGAGGTGTGCACGAGAAGAGTGTGAGGAACATGAGCAGAGTGCGAGGAGCCCTGACATGGTACAGTGTGTGAGGCCTGCACTGGCCAGGCTCCACCCACCTGTGGTGCTGACCTCACAAGTGCTGATTTGTCTAAAGAGCAAAGGGAGCTTTACTTTCTCAACCCCAAGAGTTCTGTCTTTCTGGAATTTCCAGAAAGCTCCCTCCTCTGGAAGGCAAGCAGACTTCTAAGAAGCCACTTTGAATGCACCTGTACCATGCACCGTGCTGCCTTGTCCTGGAGGTGAGCCTTCAGTTGGGGAACATGCTATTTTATCTTACTGGACATTTCAGAAGTACCAACAACTCCTATTTCATACCTAACTGTACCAGATTTAAGATGAAACTGAAAAACCATTAAAGCACACTCAGCCATTAAAGAAAACAGACAAATTTCCTTTTGTAAAAAAATGATCTAATGCAGAAGGACCGAGTTTGACCACAGGCTATGCCAGCCACCAGGCAGAAGATGGACAAAGGATGTGAAGAGGCAGTTGATAGAAATGGAAATTCAAATGGCTTGAATAACACAGAACAGAGAAATACAAAATAAAATGATAATGGGACACCAATTCCTGCTTGTTGATTTGGCAAATTTTAAGAAGCTGGTGGAGTCCTGCATGGATTAGGTGTGTGGGGAGCACCCTTGGCAGGCAGCTGAGGTACTTGATTTGGCCTTTGTACTTTACCTCTTCTGTCTCTTAGGAAAATTCTCCTCAAAGTCAGTCCTCCACTATGACATTTTTTAAGAAAAGAAATATCTCTGTGTTGTCTTCTACTATTAAAGGTTTTCCAGTTTCATCCTAACTTTGAACCAAATGGGTTTCTGTTCAAATACCTTAGAGATAAGTAAAGGGGTTAGTCCACTCAGAGGCCACTCACCTTACTTCTTGGAAAGTCTCCAAGTGAGGGCACTGTGCTTGGTCTGTGGTGGCACTGGCTGCTTCTGCTCTCTGCCTTCTTGTTGTCCTGGTTTAGTGTCTGCAGAGAGAGCAGGAGGCTTGCTCGGACCTTGGAAGTCTTGGGCCTTCCGGGGTCCTCCAAACAGCTGTTCCCTTCACTGTAGCTTCCCAGAGAAACCATGGAGATGGCACTAGTCCTGCCTGGATAGCTGAGATTGGTCAGCTGAACACCAGACCGGGGACTATGGGGCTTGGGACTCAGGGGTCTGCAGGGCATAGCTTGGTGTTCACAGACCAAGCAGCAGGCAGAAGTGCAGGGCAAGGTGCAGCTGATGCCAACCTGCTGGGCTCCGGTGCTGGTGGGAGCCTGTAGCCAGGACTTTTCAGGGAAGATACTGGAAAGGAAGGACCCACCCCCTTCCTGGGGGGCTGTGCATTTGATGGTTGGTTCACTTTTCCTCCTGGGTTCTGGCAACACCAAACTGCTGGATGACAAAGGTGCAGGGCAGTGCGGAGGCCTCCAGTGATCACTGAACACACAGCTCTCCTTGTCCTCAGCGCACTCCTCCGAGCCCCTACTGGTCCCTGCTGGGCTGGAGCAGAGGGGACTCACTAGTGAGGGCCTTCTGGGGCCTCCCGCATCTTTCTTTTTCAGAAATGCATGCCAGGGGCCCTGGCGCGGCCTGGTCTTCTTCCCGCCCTTGAAAAAGTCCTGAGAGCTGTCGGCGGCATTCTCTTTTTCTAAAACCTTCAACTCAAAGAGATTCGCAAAAGTCTTCTGAGCCAAGGCCAGCCTTGCCCTCAGAGTTCTCTCGCTTACCTTCAGTCTCTTCGCACTGCAGCTTTCTGAGGACGGGATTGTGCTGCCGAGGTCTCCCGATGTCCCCTCGGGCCAACCCTCCACTGGCCCTGAAGCCCCTTCGTTTGCGCTCTGAGGTGCTGTCCCAGGAGAAACGCTCCTGTGCCCGCTGGGCTGGGGTGTAGCGGCCCAGGCAACCGGGGAAGGGGGACACTCTTCGTGGAGCTCTCCGGGTGCCTGAGAATCCGCGGCGCAGTCCTCTGAGGTCTGGCCCCGGTTCCCGGCAGCCCAGAGCTTGTATTTCCTCAAAGAAGTCACCATGAGGAATGAGGGGTGCTTCCCCGACTCCTGCGTGCCCCTGAGGTCCTCGTCTCCCGGATCGACACTCGCCCCGGGGCACCCCGGGCTCTCTGCAGAGTGGAGGCTCTCGGCCTGCTGAGCGCCCCCAGGCCTGCCCACCGGGCTTTCCCCAGGTAGCACCTCTTCTGGGGGCTCCTCTGGGTTCAGTATCTCCTCTGAAGCAGCTCGGGAGACCAGAACTCCACCGTGCTCCGTGCTTTGGTCCACCAGCTGAAGAACCCCCTCGCTCTCTCCCAGGCGAGGGGCTGAGAGGGGCTCAGAATCACTTCCATAAGTTGAGGTTTTCCAGACTCTGGGAGACTCGCAGGGGGTGACGCCAGTAGTTCCGGGAGATGTCGGTCTTTCCCGTAGAAAGCCACTAGTCTGTGACTCTAGAAGCGCGTGCGCTCTCCTCAGGGTGGCCTGTAGACCTTTCTGCTCCACTGCTACAATGATAGGCGTGCACCCGCCCCTCTGGGCCACGCCTGCTCTGGGCTCCAACTGCAGGCCAGTGCTGAAGGGCTGGGCACCACCCCCGGGCCCTTTCCCACACATCACCTCCCCAGGGCTGTAGTGAGACTCAGTGGTTGCTGGGAATTCAGAAGGATCCTGCTCAGCATTTTTCCTGAACTTGAGGTCTAGCACGATGGCCCCTTCAGCCTTCTTCGAAGTGTCTATTGCCCTGGAGTTGGGGGTAGTCTCTGGGGCATCTGAGCTGTCACCTGCTTCCCAGAAGCCCAGCCCATTTCTGCTCCACTCCTGGTCCCCACCACCATCACAGTGACCTGGTAAGTTGGCCCTCGTGTACAGCTTTCCTCTCTCACCTAGAAGACACGTTAATGTGTAATTACTGGTTTGTTTTCTTGACTCCACAGCAGCTTCCTGCTGGGACAGGGTCGGGCCTGCGCCTTGGGCCTCTTGGGGCCTGCTTTCTGGGCTGTGTTCCGGCTTGTGCTCAGCAAGCTTGGGCACTTCCTCTGGGCTTCCAAGCCTCGCCAGGCCTGAAGTCAGGCATGAAGCAGCTGGGCATGACCTAGAATCCTGTCTGGGCTGGTTTTCCTGGAGGAGACCTTCTACAGGTGTGTCCTGAGAAGCCCTTTTCAAGCTACACCCACTGGAGCTGTACTGAGCCTGTGAATGAGACCTGCTTTGTGAAGCACAAAGTAAATGAAACAGTTGGGTGGGTGCAGGGGAAAGTGTACTTTGTGTTCCTGGATCTTGTTTGGTTTCTGTCCTTTCCCTTAATGGAGTCCCAAACTCCACACAGTTCTGCCCCACGGAACCCCCTGGACAGCCTAAAGGGAGCCTTGGTATGGAATGGGCCCTGGTCAGTGCTCTCCTATGTTGGCAGTGATGCCCTGAGGGTACCCTGCAATTATCACCAATATCATCAGGGGTGCTGTGGTGATATCTGGCATGTAAGAGGCAAGATACACCCAGAGGAGGCTGGCAAACGATACCCGAGTAGGTCTGGGTCCAGAGTGAGTCTGCGTCCACTTTAGGGACTGGATTACTTTTTGTCTTAGTTCTGGTCTGCAGGGGGACTGTGTGGTCCAGCCAGCCTTTGTGAGGTAGTCCTTGTGGCCTGGCCCTGCTGTGGTTGTTCGGCCAGCTCTGACCTAGTTCACAGCACTGGAGGGAGAAGGGCCAGGCCACGGGAATGTCCAGATAGCTCTCAGACCTGGATTTGTGAAGAGAAGCCACGGTAAGCCACCTGAGGTCTTCAACAGTTACCTTCTGTGCAGGTTGGGGACTGCACCTGCCAGAGGTACTATGTGAGGAGCACCCGGCCAGCGCAGATCCTTGCTCCAGCTTGGTCACACAGTCCCCAGCAACAGCAGCTAAGGTATACAACTCATTTTTGTAAGACTCTTCCTTAAAGCTAGGGGAAATATCTTGTTCTTCCTTTGCATTGAGTCCAGTGACACAGGTGGAAGGCTGGTCCTGGGACAGTCTAAGTGCTGGGACAGCAGGCCAACCCCAGCTTGCTTCTCTGTCTATAGAGGAAGCACTTGGAGGAAAGCAGCCTTCCCTGGTGGGATCACTGTGCGGGGACCATGTGTCAGAGGCAGTGTCAAAGAGGTCATTTTTTGTGTCTGATTGACTTTCACTTTGGTAGGACAGGGTCTCAAAATCATCATGGTCTGTTTCTTGGCTCCATCCTTGCTCCTCTGGTCCTGCAGGGGATGATGGAAGCAGGTTATCTTCTATCACACTTTCACCTGGCAGAGGTATGGCTGTCTCTGAAATCTGAAAGGACAAGAAGAGAAAAGTCAAGATAAGACCTGAAATCATCAACATATTTTTACACCAGCCTTTTCATCATAAGGAAAAGGCTCAGAGATGTCTTAGTCCCCCGTGTTCCCTCAGGAAGGGAGGTAAAGATGGAGAGCTACTATTTATTTGTTTGTTTATTTATTTATTGTTTTTGAGACAAAGTCTCAGTATCTAGTTCAGCTGGCCTTGAACTCAGGGCAATACTCCTGCCTCAACCTCTCAAGTGCTGGGATTACAGGCGTGTACAATCACCATGCCCAGCAGAGCCACCTTTCATTAACAGGAAAGAAATGATGAAGCCAATCGAAACAATAAGAAGAAAATGTATCACATAGTTAAAACAACCCTACTAAAAAATTAGAATAGGCCAAATGAGCATGAGATTTTCCACAGGTATAAATGTGTTGTGTGGTGATGAAAAACTCATCTCTGCCTAATGTTTCCAACAAAAAGAAACAAATTATATATGTTTGTTCTTGTATAACCAACTGGCTTCCAATCAATACTCTTGAATTTAGGACTATTTTCTAAGTTTAGTTTTCTGGAAAAAAAAATCAACAATTAATGAGACTACAAACACATTTTGGGATGAGAACACAAAATCTAGAGGACTGTGAAAGTACTGGCAGAATTTCCTTCCTGCACTGTACATTTCTTATTCTGCTTATTGAGATAGGAATTTTTGTGCTTGTATAGATCTGTGTTTTGACAAATGTAAATGCCTGTGCACTCCCACTATAGAGAGATCTATTTCAATTCCCCAGAAAATCCTTGTCCCTCCCCAGCCAACCTCCACCTCCCTCTTCTTCTTTTATCCAGTCAGAGACCAACCTTCTGGGATGGTCCAGATCTGTCTGTGAAACTTTTGGCCAATTCTGGAGTTTCACATGGACAGAATCTGCGTGTGTTTTTTGGGCCTGGCTTTTTAGCCTGAGGTGCGATGGCTGTAGCATGTCTCAGTACACACAATGACTTCACCTGTGAGGTCATGCTGCACCCCACGCTCAATTATCAAACACCCAAGCTCCCCCCGGGGCCAAAAGTGGGGTAGGTACTCAACCTCCCTTTGAGTCAAGGCTCCTTCTCACAAATTTTGTGCTTTTGCAACCATGGTTTCCCAGGACTTGCATAGAGACTTTTCAGAGTAAAATTGCTTTTGATCTTCCTTAACTAAGGGAAGGAAAATAAGTATCAAGGTGTGGAGGGCCACCTGGACGGCTCTCCTTGAAAGAAGAAAGTTTGGCCCTACCTCCTTGTGTTGATATGTACAGACCTGGCTAGGATATTTCCTTATCTGCTCAATTGGCTTTATTTTTATTTATTTATTTATTTTTGGTACCAGGAATCAAACTCAGGACCTTGCACTTGCCAGGCAGGTGCTAGCACCACTGAGCTAACCCCCAGCCTCCTCATTTGGCTTTAAGCAATGCAAATGGGTCTAGCTGAGATGCTGATTTGTAGTCTTTAAAGCAATGCAGCAGGTCAGTGATGCCCGTCTAAAGCTCCCAAGTAGTATGTGTTGTGCGAGCTAGGCCGAGTAATGCCATGCTGTTGGCTGAGACTGAGCTTTAAGGAAGAAGCTCTGACATCTCCGGGCGTGGTGATTACACATCAAAACTGAAGAACAGACCCCAAAACACTAGCTATTGCCCTAATCTGTGACATGCAGATTACTCTTTCTGCATCTCTCCCTCTGTCTGCATATTGCAGAGGTGAATTTAGGCCTCCGACCTAGCCCAGCTCACAGAACTCATGTACTTCCTGTCATTCAGTCACTTATCCCCAAGCCACTCCCCTCTTCATGAATTAATAAAACCTGAGTTCAGCACTGGGTTGAGGTCTTTGTTCCAGGTAGCCATTGGTCTGACTGGACTTAGGACCTCCTTGGCTCCCCACAACTACAAATATGCCTTAGTGTGTTTATTCTCCCCATGGGATGCACTAGAAGTGGTAGATTGGAATTAACTTATTAGAATTCCTATAACTTTTCCATGGGATTACAAATATAAATTCCTGGACCTCAGTGGGGGATTCCTATGTCAAGAAGCACATGCTGTATGAGCTTTATTAAAGAACAGGTGGAAATGCAGGGAAAATAGGGTAATGGTTTTCAAATATGTTGCAAAGCATAAAAGGGTTAGGAATCAGAAAGGAACATTAAAAACATTTGAAAAGGAGGGCTGTGTGGTTGTTATGTGGTGTCCAAGAGAAGAGAGAAGAAGTCAGGCTCTGCCCGGGTTCATGACACGCAATGGACCCTGCCACCTCTGTGGCGCCAGGAACCCTGACTGCAAAGTCAGACTAACAGCCTGCATCCACTCCTGCCCTCCCATGTTGGGGTGCAGACCAGTGAGATGGGGCTGCAGACTAACCTTGGCACACAGAAAACTGCAATGGCAAGTTTAAGTTGTCACTGGGAGGAGCCAAGACCACTAGAGTGCTCCTGCTACATAGCTCCTGTCTTCAGGAGCTCTCAGGGTCCCCCATCTTGACAACCTGGATTCCACACTGAGAACTGACCTGACCAGGCATGACCCTGCCAGTGCTGCCTGGAGCATGTCACTGGCAGACTCCTGGTGGTACTCATGTTCACCTGCTGCAGACCCAGGGAATCCCAAGTTCCAGGTGACCCCCAGTGAGGACAATGACAACTAAAATACAAGAACATTCTTTCCTGCACGTCAGCTCAGCATCACACCCAAGGCACCACTGGCAGGGGAAAGAGGCAGAGCTAAGGGGCTGCCTCAGGCTGGCTCTTCACACAGGGGGGGCCCAGACTAAATTCCAGGTGTTTTAGAGACCTGGCTCCATCCCAGTGAAAATGAAAGCCTGGGGGGGTGTGCAGAGATAAGACAACTCCTCAGATTATAAGGCTGGTGTAGTCTATGCCAGAGCACTGGAATAGCAGGTTCAATGTTCTGGAAGTGTAAAAATACTGAAAAATGAGGACTTTAAACCACTTAATGTGGTTGAATATTAAACTCTAATCTTACAAATAATGACTCAGTCAGCCCTCTGTATCCACAGGCTCAACCAACCACAGATTAAAGCTATTTTTATAAAAGTATGTCTGAACTGAACATGAATAGCCTTTTTTCTTGTTATTACTGTCTCTAAACAATACAGTGTAGCTATTACTTACATTGTATTAGGTATTATAAGTAACCTAGAAGTGACTGGAAGTCTTGGGAGGATGTGCAGAGGTCATATTCAAAGGCTCCGCCATTTTGTAGAAGGGACTTGAAATACAGGCATTTTGGTGTCTATGGCTTCCTGGAGTTAGTCCCTCCTAGATACTGATGGATGATTGTACCTTCTTCCTAATTTGATTCCATTTGATAGTTCTCTGCATAAATCTATATAACGTAGAAGCAAAAGTACTCTTTTTGCTGAGGCTTGGAGTTTTTTTCCTCTTCTTTGAGTAGGGGTGGTACTGGGTCATCTTCAAACGTTTCTAACCAGGCAAACTATTCTGTCACAAACCAGGCAGGGCCTTCCTAGTTGTTCCACAGATGTAAAGATCTGAGGCCCCATAACTAGAATGTTTGGCTTTTCTCCTGTATGAAATAGACATCTATAGTTCACGTCCCCACGAAGAAGGGGACACACAGGCCACGACAGATGAGAACTTTGTGGACAAGCAGATGCCAGTGTTCACCCCAGCCAGCATCTTCTCCTCCCCACCGCTGGCAGCAAATCTCCTCCCGTGGAGACCCAGTGGGCTCGCCCTCCTCCCTGCCCCCACCCCACACAGGGCACATTTAATCTCCACACCTCATCTCCCGCACTCTCTTTTTAAAAATTTTAGTATTTGAGGACATACTATCCCTTCTAAACGCAACTTTAGTGATATGCCAGTAGTTTTAACGTGATATTTCACAATGTTGGCAATTCTATTTTTTTCCCTAATTTCTATTATGATTTTCTCCTTGACATTTATTAGGCATTTTAGTTATCTTTGTTTTTTTGGGGGGGTTTCTGATTTCTATTTCATTACATTGTGATTACAAAATGTGTTCTATATGATATTGACCTTTTAAGATTAGTTGAAACTGGCTTTACTGCATACTACAAGGTCCCATTTCATAAATGGCCCATGGTGTTTGAAAATAATGTGCATTCTGTAATAGTTCACTGCAGTGTTAAATATGTGTTCACATCAAGCTTGTTGATTATATTTAAGCCCTCAGTAATCTTACTGGTTTTTGTTATTCTACTGAATGCTGAAATCACCCACTGCAGGAGAGGATTTGTCAATTTCCTCTTTTAATTCTGTCATCACTGATGTACATATTTCAGTATTATGTTAGAAAGTTCATGAACGAGTCTAGTGTTGTATCTTCTCAGGAATGGTGCTTTTACTAGTACTAGCAATAAAGGGTTTCACATCATTATCCCTTATAAAAGCTAAATGCTATTTCCTCTTATGCTGATACACACATATCTGTTTTCTTTTGGGTTACTATTAGCCTACTCTACTTCTCCATTCCTTTACTGTCAATCTTTCTATTTCCGTTAGATGTGTTTTCCATAGCCATATAGCTGGGTGTGCAGAATTCAATCTTTCAATCACATCCACTCACAGTTTGGCCTGTGAATATTTAGCGTGATAACTGACATACTTGGGTTTCCATCCACAGTGGTCCAAACCTTTTTTTTTTTTTTTTTTTCTTTTGGTCTTTTTTGAGACAGGGCCTCGCTATGCAGTTCAGGTCGGCCTCGAGCTCACTTTATAGCCCAGGCTGGCTTCGAACTTACAATGATCCTCCTGCCTCAGCCTCCTGGGTGCTGGGATTACAGGCGTGCAACACCATGCCCGGCACTGGTTCATACCTTCTAACTCCTCCTTTGTACATACTGGGAATTTGTTTCTGTCTCTCTTTTTTCTGGTAGGAAGGCAACTTAGCTATGTTTTGTTTAAGAGGCTGCCTAATGAACCATTATACTTTATCTCTAGGTTTATTTGAAAATGT